CGAAATTCAAAATTTCGACCCGAAAAAAAAAACGACAGTGTTACCCCTTTCGTTTTTTTCATTTTTGGGCGAAAAATTAAGTTTCTCCAATCTTCTCAAAACTCTGGATTATGATAGAGGGCCATGAGACTTTGACCTGAGTGCAAAAATGGAGGCTCTAGACCCTTCCAGAGCTGAGATATCGAAATTCAAAATTTCGACCCGAAAAAAAAAACGACAGTGTTACCCCTTTCGTTTTTTTTCATTTTTGGGCGAAAAATTAAGTTTCTCCAATCTTCTCAAAACTCTGGATTCTGATAGAGGGCCATGAGACTTTGACCTGAGTGCAAAAATGGAGGCTCTAGACCCTTCCAGAGCTGAGATATCGAAATTCAAAATTTCGACCCGAAAAAAAAACGACAGTGTTACCCCTTTCGTTTTTTTTCATTTTTGGGCGAAAAATTAAGTTTCTCCAATCTTCTCAAAACTCTGGATTATGATAGAGGGCTGTGAGACTTTGACCTGAGTGCAAAAATGGAGGCTCTAGACCCTTCCAGAGCTGAGATATCGAAATTCAAAATTTCGACCCGAAAAAAAAACGACAGTGTTACCCCTTTCGTTTTTTTTCATTTTGGGCGAAAAATTAAGTTTCTCCAATCTTCTCAAAACTCTGGATTATGATAGAGGGCTGTGAGACTTTGACCTGAGTGCAAAAATGGAGGCTCTAGACCCTTCCAGAGCTGAGATATCGAAATTCAAAATTTCGACCCGAAAAAAAAACGACAGTGTTACCCCTTTCGTTTTTTTTCATTTTTGGGCGAAAAATTAAGTTTCTCCAATCTTCTCAAAACTCTGGATTCTGATAGAGGGCTGTGAGACTTTGACCTGAGTGCAAAAATGGAGGCTCTAGACCCTTCCAGAGCTGAGATATCGAAATTCAAAATTTCGACCCGAAAAAAAAACGACAGTGTTACCCCTTTCGTTTTTTTTCATTTTCGGGCGAAAAATTAAGTTTCTCCAATCTTCTCAAAACTCTGGATTATGATAGAGGGCCATGAGACTTTGACCTGAGTGCAAAAATGGAGGCTCTAGACCCTTCCAGAGCTGAGATATCGAAATTCAAAATTTCGACCCGAAAAAAAAACGACAGTGTTACCCCTTTCGTTTTTTTCATTTTCGGGCGAAAAATTAAGTTTCTCCAATCTTCTCAAAACTCTGGATTCTGATAGAGGGCCACGAGACTTTGACCTGAGTGCAAAAATGGAGGCTCTAGACCCTTCCAGAGCTGAGATATCGAAATTCAAAATTTCGACCCGAAAAAAAAAACGACAGTGTTACCCCTTTCGTTTTTTTTCATTTTCGGGCGAAAAATTAAGTTTCTCCAATCTTCTCAAAACTCTGGATTATGATAGAGGGCTGTGAGACTTTGACCTGAGTGCAAAAATGGAGGCTCTAGACCCTTCCAGAGCTGAGATATCGAAATTCAAAATTTCGACCCGAAAAAAAAAACGACAGTGTTACCCCTTTCGTTTTTTTTCATTTTTGGGCGAAAAATTAAGTTTCTCCAATCTTCTCAAAACTCTGGATTATGATAGAGGGCTGTGAGACTTTGACCTGAGTGCAAAAATGGAGGCTCTAGACCCTTCCAGAGCTGAGATATCGAAATTCAAAATTTCGACCCGAAAAAAAAACGACAGTGTTACCCCTTTCGTTTTTTTTCATTTTTGGGCGAAAAATTAAGTTTCTCCAATCTTCTCAAAACTCTGGATTCTGATAGAGGGCTGTGAGACTTTGACCTGAGTGCAAAAATGGAGGCTCTAGACCCTTCCAGAGCTGAGATATCGAAATTCAAAATTTCGACCCGAAAAAAAAAACGACAGTGTTACCCCTTTCGTTTTTTTCATTTTCGGGCGAAAAATTAAGTTTCTCCAATCTTCTCAAAACTCTGGATTATGATAGAGGGCTGTGAGACTTTGACCTGAGTGCAAAAATGGAGGCTCTAGACCCTTCCAGAGCTGAGATATCGAAATTCAAAATTTCGACCCGAAAAAAAAACGACAGTGTTACCCCTTTCGTTTTTTTTTCATTTTCGGGCGAAAAATTAAGTTTCTCCAATCTTCTCAAAACTCTGGATTCTGATAGAGGGCACGAGACTTTGACCTGAGTGCAAAAATGGAGGCTCTAGACCCTTCCAGAGCTGAGATATCGAAATTCAAAATTTCGACCCGAAAAAAAAACGACAGTGTTACCCCTTTCGTTTTTTTTCATTTTCGGGCGAAAAATTAAGTTTCTCCAATCTTCTCAAAACTCTGGATTCTGATAGAGGGCACGAGACTTTGACCTGAGTGCAAAAATGGAGGCTCTAGACCCTTCCAGAGCTGAGATATCGAAATTCAAAATTTCGACCCGAAAAAAAACGACAGTGTTACCCCTTTCGTTTTTTTTCATTTTTGGGCGAAAAATTAAGTTTCTCCAATCTTCTCAAAACTCTGGATTCTGATAGAGGGCCACGAAACTTTGACCTGAGTGCAAAAATGGAGGCTCTAGACCCTTCCAGAGCTGAGATATCGAAATTAAAAATTTCGACCCGAAAAAAAAACGACAGTGTTACCCCTTTCGTTTTTTTTCGTTTTCGGGCGAAAAATTAAGTTTCTCCAATCTTCTCAAAACTCTGGATTATGATAGAGGGCTGTGAGACTTTGACCTGAGTGCAAAAATGGAGGCTCTAGACCCTTCCAGAGCTGAGATATCGAAATTCAAAATTTCGACCCGAAAAAAAAACGACAATGTTACCCCTTTCGTTTTTTTTCGTTTTCGGGGCGAAAAATTAAGTTTCTCCAATCTTCTCAAAACTCTGGATTCTGATAGAGGGCCACGAAACTTTGACCTGAGTGCAAAAATGGAGGCTCTAGACCCTTCCAGAGCTGAGATATCGAAATTCAAAATTTTGACCCGAAAAAAAAACGACAGTGTTACCCCTTTCGTTTTTTTTCGTTTTCGGGCGAAAAATTACGTGTCTCCAATCTTCTCAAAACTCTGGATTATGATAGAGGGCTGTTCGACTTTGACCTGAGTGCAAAAATGGAGGCTCTAGACCCTTCCAGAGCTGAGATATCGAAATTCAAAATTTCGACCCGAAAAAAAAATGACAGTGTTACCCCTTTCGTTTTTTTTCGTTTTCGGGCGAAAAATTACGTTTCTCCAATCTTCTCAAAACTCTGGATTCTGATAGAGGGCCACGAAACTTTGACCTGAGTGCAAAAATGGAGGCTCTAGACCCTTCCAGAGCTGAGATATCAAAATTCAAAATTTCGACCCGAAAAAAAAACGACAGTGTTACCCCTTTCGTTTTTTTTTTCATTTTCGAGCGAAAAATTAAGTTTCTCCAATCTTCTCAAAACTCTGGATTCTGATAGAGGTCTTCGGTTTTTTTTTCGTTTTCGAGCGAAAAATTACGTGTCTCCAATCTTCTCAAAACTCTGGATTATGATAGAGGGCTGTTCGTCTTTGACCTGAGTGCAAAAATGGAGGCTCTAGACCCTTCCAGAGCTGAGATATCGAAATTCAAAATTTCGATCCGAAAAAAAAATGACAGTGTTACCCCTTTCGTTTTTTTTCGTTTTCGGGCGAAAAATTACGTTTCTCCAATCTTCTCAAAACTCTGGATTCTGATAGAGGGCCACGAAACTTTGACCTGAGTGCAAAAATGGAGGCTCTAGACCCTTCCAGAGCTGAGATATCAAAATTCAAAATTTCGACCCGAAAAAAAAACGACAGTGTTACCCCTTTCGTTTTTTTTTCATTTTCGAGCGAAAAATTAAGTTTCTCCAATCTTCTCAAAACTCTGGATTCTGATAGAGGTCTTCGTTTTTTTTTTTTTCGTTTTCGGGCGAAAAATTGAGTTTCTCCAATCTTCCCAAAACTCTGGATTATGATAGAGGGCTGTAAGACTTTGACCTGAGTGCAAAAATGGAGGCTCTAGACCCTTCCAGAGCTGAGATATCAAAATTCAAAATTTCGACCCGAAAAAAAACGACAGCGTCCCTTTCGTTTTTTTTTTCATTTTCGGGCGAAAAATTAAGTTTCTCCAATCTTCTCAAAACTCTGGATTATGATAGAGGGCTGTGAGACTTTGACCTGAGTGCAAAAATGGAGGATCTAGACCCTTCCAGAGCTGAGATATTGAGATATTTATAATGACATAAATGCTACGTGGTATCTCAATATCTCAGCACTGGAAGGGTCTAGAGCCTCCATTTTTGCACTCAGGTTTAAGTCCCATGGCCCTCTATCAGAATCCAGAGTTTCAAGAAGATCAGAGAAACTCAAAATTTCGACCCAAAAAAAAAAAACGACAGTGTTACCCCTGTCGTTTTTTTTGGGGGGGAGCAAAAAAAAAAGTTTCTCCAATCTTCTTGAAACTCTGGATTCTGATAGAGGGTCATGGGACTTACACCTGAGTGCAAAAATGGAGGCTCAAGACCATTCCAGAGCTGAGATATTGAGATATTTATAATGGCATAAATGCTACGTGGTATCTTCTTTTGTCCCTTCCATCGAGCAAGGTCCTGCTCCACCACATGGGATCTTGATACAGTGAGAGGAAATTCTTCCTCATTGTTAACAGCAGCAGAGATGGCCTGCAGGACATCATCAAGGCTGAAAAAGAAATAAATGCCTGTCAGGCAGTGTGATTCTGGAAAGCGTATATTGTCTGTATAATTCCTTTAGGTTGGAGGTTGTCAAACTGTGTATGTCATTTATTCTTTCTCTATTGTGTGTTAGTATTTGCATATTTGTGTCATTTACTTTTTCGTTGCTTCTGTAGAGTCATAGGTTACAGGTAATCCCTGGATTCTTTGACATGATATCAGGTACTTGGCCCCAAAAGCTTGAGAGCCTTAGGTTATTCACTGTTGAAGGAGACTATAGAAGCGTACAAACCTAGAAATGCTCATCTTTTGTTCTGAAGATGAAGTTGAAGGAATGAAGTCAGCTTTGCTGAAATGACAAAACGAGTATGAATTTAAGAGTGAAACCCATATCCTCTGACCTTAACTGTAAAAATGTGTACAATAAACTCAGTACAGAAGCCACATATAAAAGTTTACTTTATAGAAAAGTTGAAATGAAAGTTTAATTTAAACTTTTTTAAAACTAAACTTTTTAATTTCAATAAAAATCATATGGCAACAGTGACAACCAAGAAAAAAAAAAAAACACTTGTGTACTGAAAGTAAATGTATATCACACACAGCACAGTCAGCCTTTATGATAATAACAGCTCAGTCAAAAAACTGGTCAATACATTAATCCATTGGTGGGAAGACAGATGCTTGGAGGGATATCACAAATATCTCACTAAAATACTACAAAATCTTGACATTTTTATATTGACTAAATTGTGCTAAGATTCTGTTACCTCTCTCCACACTCGCTTGCATGTTCCTCCAGGTCATCGGGAGGAAAATTATGGCCACAGACTGGACACACGGTCTGCAACTGGAATCACTTAAATGTTTAACATTGAAAGGTGGAGACAATAATACATCAAAAATAAACACTCCACATCACAACATACCTCTGTCTTTGAGGACACAAAAAACACATAGGCTGTCAGGAGGAATAACAAAACTGAAAAAGAAATTGTGAAAGAAAAAGAAAATTGTGAACTGAAAAAGAAACTCTTTCCTGACTCCTTCCCTGTCTGCTAGAATGACATGCCGTGTTCAGGAGATGCATAAAATTATTTTATGCATGTTAATCTGGGTGTGTGTGTGTGTGTTATCTTATTTGTTGCGAAACCAGACAACACCTTGGAGTCTCTGGGCCAATTTGATGTTGGGCACTGGGCCCAACAGGGGTAGCTCTGTGTTGGGCAATGGACCCAACAGGACCAGGGGAAGGTGTTGCATTTGTGAGCAAATTTAGGAGGTGCCTTGCTGAATTGACTACTTCTGAGTTGTCTCCCTGTCAAAATATACAAATTCAGCAGTAGGTTGGAAAAGCTATACAATACATCAACTTAATAACCCATAAAACAATATAAATAACTTAAATATTACCAAATCAAAAATTACAAAGTGGGATGTTTTCCTTATTCCAAAGAAAATATATTGCAAAAAGTTATTCAAAGTTATATGGCTAGCTATATCAATATAAACAAAAATATTAATAAAATAGGCAATATATTTACAGACCACTATGTACGGTGGCCGAGAGAGCTCACCGGGCTGCAACCTGATGAAGACGAATGCAAATACAAAAAAACGTGTGCAACTATAAAAACGCGTGCAAATACAAAAAGACATCCGCAAATTAAGAAAAACATCTTCATCAGTTCCACAACACACGTGTGCTCCAAGTACTCACAACACGTATATAGTTGCACACGTTTTTTTGTATTTGCATTCGTCTTCATCAGGTTGCAGCGCGGTGAGCTCTCTCGGCCACCGTACCTATGGGCTATATGCACGCATAAGTTCCGCATTTGACGCAAGGATGCTCTACAGTTTCCGGACTGTGTTTGCATTAGCAATTGTCGGGATAAAGATTTAATTTCCCCCATTTCTAAAATAGCTATAACATTAACAACGTTAAACAAAAGATTGTTAGATCATAAAAAGAATGTCATTACCGTATTTGTCCAAGCCAAATCCATGGTGGTGGTCACTGGTCACGCCAGTCGGCAAGTCAGGCAAGCACTTCTTCTTTGTTTCATGGCGGGTAACATACACTGTTAAACAAATATTGTTGGTTTAACTTAAAAAATTAAGTAACCTGGCTGCCTTAAAATTTTAAGTTCATTGAAATGGAAAAATTGAGTTAATACAATGAAGGAGATTGATTTAATCATCAGAAACTCAAAGTATTATGTTATCTGAACTATATAAATTATTTAAGTTGATGTGAAAAAAGAAAAAATGTTTTGCTTGTTTTTTTACAGTGTACTGTGCTCCAAAACATTGGTGCTGATTGGCCCAAGAGGAGTCCTGTGCGCCAATGAACGCAATCTATCGATCTGCGCTCGATTGCTCTTCCTTCATCCTCCAACTACCCAGATGTCTGTCTCAGTAACTTGAAATTGAATTTGAGAACTAAATGTGGAGAGTCAGAGAAAGCAGAGAATGTCTAGGAGAAAGTCTAATTGAAGAGAATTGGCACTGGCTGGTTACTTCCGGGTTCTGGACTGGCTGCAGTAACACGTCTCTGTCCATGCGGGGGCGCTCGCGGTCGAGTGCAGAATGAATGGGAGTCAATGGGGTTTCACCCCCAGAAATCCTCTTTTCTCAGGATGTATTTTTTTGTCAAGTAATTTGAAAGTTGAATTCAAAAGGGAAGGCTAAGATAATACACTCAGCTGAAAAATGCATTTTTAAGTTCACTTATCTGTTCTAAAAATCCATTCAAACATGTGATGACGTCACACAATAGCAGAATGCTAGCGTGTTCCGGCCAACAACGGCCTAACCTGTAAGAAATCAAAAGGATATAAGTACTCGTTCATTCAACTTTTGGCCTATAATCTATATTGAACTTGCGGAATCAACAATAAAATCTATGTTAATTTAACGACAAGCAGGTGAAAGAGACACATTTAGCCGTTTAGCCCCATAGACTCCCATTCATTCTGCTCTCGCCCGCGATCACCTCCAGTGGAATTGTAATGGAACTGCAACCAAGACGGGCTCTGGGAGAGTTTAATTTTCAGTGAGGATCAAATTTTATTGGACTTCAGTTCCAAACAAATAAATTCAATATCAAATTATACAATTCAGATTCTGTTTTTGAATAAATTCAATTGTAATTAAACACATAAAAAAACATGCTAAATAAACACATATTTATTTTTAACCCAAGAAAAAACAGTACAACAATACAATAATATTTGATTGCCTTTATTTCATTGTAAACAGCTAGAACTTCGCAAAAACAGCCACTTCGCGTCGCATCTTCGTTAGGCTAGGATCATGAAAAAGCCATTCAAATTCAAATATAAATGGTTCAAATTTAGTTTCTGGTGGCACATTTTTCAGCCCATACTATAGACATGTTCTTATAAAATCTTCCCAGTAAACGGATAAGATCTGCACATAAGAGGCGGTGCATGCGAAGCAATTGCACGTTTTAAACGCAGTGTCAGCGACTCTACGTGGCGACGATGGAAGCCGGAGGAAGGCGGATTAGATTGGCGGAACGTGGAGAGCTCGAGGAGGAGCTGATTTTATCCGGGCCACGACACGTCCACGAATCCACGTGTAGCCCGTCACTGGTGCAAACACACGGGGCAGTGCTGCTCTCCTTCTGAGTTTCATCATGGAGCGACCGCTGGCAGCCGCTGCGAGAGGTACAGTCGCATTTCACTTCTAGCATTGCTGTTACATCCTTACTGTTTGCCTTGCTAGTCATTCATTTAGCATCTATTAGTACGATGCATTTAAAAAAAAAAAAAGGCAAAAGAAGAACAGACTTTGTCGCAGTGTAAGATGTTGGTTCAACAGTCAGATTCTTCATATCCGTGTTTGATTCAAACAGTTGCAATAAATTGCTCTATAATTATATCATTCTTGAATGATCGATTCCTACGATTCGTGGGTCATTTCTTTGACCGTCTGGACTGATTATGGTGACAGGTGTGCCAAAGCGATCCAGTGGAGCAGTTAATATGATCACAACACGGTTTCTGTTCTTGCTCATCCTCCCTTCACTGAGTCTGTGTGCTCCACAACAAGCCCAGAAAACACTCAGGTAGGCCGCAATAACGCCGTGCTTGTATATGCTACTGTTCTGTATTATGACTGTACTATACAGTACTACACTATTAACCCACATAATTGTTATTAGGATAGATAGACAGTTATCCAATTGTAAAATATGCTAAGATGCAGTGTTGGCATCAAAGATGGTGTGAAACATTTGTTAAAAAAAAAAGATTTTTTTTCTTCTGATGTCGATGTTTTGTTCTGTTTATTGTTGGTTTGTTCTGTTTTTCTAGTGATGGTCTTATTGCACCAGACCTGGCTAATCCTTTTGGGTCCAGCGAAGAAAACCGGAGGTTATCTCTTTTGAATACATTTCCCTGATCTTACCTTTACTGTCTGTAAACCTACCTGATCAAACAAGGTAGCACAGTTGCTCCAAGGTTCAGAGTCCATTTTCACATTAGAGATAATGCTGAGATACCCACAGCTGACACACATGCTGAACAAGCAATAGCTATAAAAAAAGCAATACAAACAAAATGCTTTGTTGTGCTTTCCTGCTTATTTAAAAAAAAATGTAACATATTTTAGAGAAATGCTATTCAGTTTTCTATACAGTGCATTTTTAGCACAAAAATGCCAGTATTTATCTTTAAAGTGTACATTTAAAGTCTAAATGGAAAAAATCCTGAATGAATTCAGACCCATGCTTATATCCCTATATAAACGTACCTACTGGAATCATATAAGGCAGAACTAAAGTGGGCGATGATGATCTTTGATTCTGTATTACAGGCTCCTGCAAAGCTACATCAAGAGCAGCCTAAAGGAAGGACAGAGCAGTCCAGAGCTGAACACCAGGGAACAAGGTTAATGGATCATTATGAACATGATCTCTCAATGACCTGCTTTTATTTCACTCCTTTGTGCTTTGCATGGATTTTCTATTAAGCTATTTCCACTACCTAGTTCCTGGGTCCTGATGTTGAATGTGAACACATTTTAAGGCCTATGATCTTAAACAGTTACAGTTCCATTAAAAATACTTCAAGTACAGTAGTATACTAAAAGTACAGTATATTTATTTTCCTATGTACATAATAGCATTTATTTATCCATTACAGGCACAGAGTACTTTTTCTTTATATATATATTATAAAAGTAGTAAACATTTGAAGTGGATCAAAACCGTTCATCAAAGCTACAGAATACATAAATTTTCAACAGGACTCATTCTTGTATTAGGACAACTTTGATTTCACTTTTTTGATCCATTTTTAAATGTATATGCCTTGCTGTGAAATGTATAAAAAGCATATAGACAATATATAATAAATCATGTGCATTCATGTGTGTATTTTACTCTTAGGTTTTGATAAGCTTATTAATGATTTGTTCTCTTGTCGCAGAAGTGTTCTTCCTTTTCTCCTTGTATGACTATGATAGAAGTGGGCAGATGGATGGCCTTGAACTGATGCAACTTCTAACAGATTTCCTGACTTATCATGAAGTTATGCCAAAGTCAACAGATTCTGTGAGTGCTGTTTCGTTGTGTCATAACATTCTAAGTCATCTCTCGAGTTCTTTTACGACTTAAACTCATTTACGTTTTAGGTTGTATCTTTGGTGGATTACCTGCTACAAGCTCAGGATCTGAACCTGGATGGACTACTGGCTCCTTCAGAGCTTTTATCACCATCCACGATTGACCAACAGCAAGAAAGCAATATTGTTCTCCCTGATTCACCAGCTGACGAGGCCTTAAAACAAGAGCAAACACATGCGAAATCAGAGGATGGAGACACAGAAGTCAAAAAAGAGTCTGAACATGAGAATGAGACACAAGACCCAGCTAAAGAAGAACACACACAGGAAGAGAAGCCTGTAGATCACCAGATACCTGAACAGCTTGAAGAACAGGATGAGCTGCAAGATGATCATCAGGAGCAGAAGAACATGCCAGTCCATCAGGAGCAACCAGAGATGTGATGCCAAATTAAGCATGAAGTGACTTTTAAAGACATCTTTCAAACAGATACAAATCAGCCATACATAGGAAACCCCTCTCCTGCTGTATACAAAGTACTATGACCAACACGTAATTTATTGCTGGATAGTAAAGGATGTTTTGAAGGTCCAAACATGTGAATGATATTAGCATCATTGTACAGTTTGTGAAATCGCTAAACTACAGAAATTTCCAGTGTTGTGCAATCCAGGCACACAACCATCTGAATTAGTATCTGGTCATCTTTTTTTGCACCATTTAAACTTCGCAAACTCAAAGCAAACCTTTAATTTACTGAAAATGTAATGCAAAATCTGGTCACAGCCAAGATCCAATAACCATTATTACAGTTTGTATCCAACTCTTGTCATATTTCTATACTGCACTTTTCTGGGGGTTAAATACCTTTGAATTAAATCGTTCAAAAGGGAACTACTTTCATTTCTGCCTCCATGCAAGAGGATTTGGACGGATCAGAATATAGACGTCTTAATTTGCCATAAGTAAACAATTTTTTGGTGCTTTACTTTTGTGAAAGTAGTTAGTGAAGTGCCGTATTGCACTTCCAGAGAAACAAAAAGCTCACTTGTACTCAATTTCCAGTAGAGATCTCATAAAACCCATTGAGTCTCAGCATTGAGAATTTCTATACAATGTGTCTGATGCCACAGTTACACTTTCTACCAAGGTGGAAAGAAAACCATACAAGGATAGAGATGTTGCAAATGAAAAGCAGTCAAGACAAAACAGTTTGGTTTTAATATTTATTACACTTTAGACAAAATGCATTAAAACACAATCAAGTAAAAATCATTCAATCTAAAAAGCAACTTTAAAAAGTCAAACATACTGAAAATGTGGCGACGGCATCAAGACGTGCTACCGTAAAACTTTAGACACTGGTCCAAACCTGACTCCAATTAACAGGACTACACTGTGCATAAAAGTCACTCCCCAATTCAAAATAAAACGCTAAAACATCAGTTGGGGGTCTCGGTCTAAAAGACTTGATAAAATTCAATCATTGCTTAAAATGCTTATTGTACCATGGGCATGGAAGATGGCAGTCAGCTTAAGTTGAAGACAGTCAATGTCCACACTCTGAACTCTGCGCTCATTTCAGCTTTTGCAATTTTGGTGGTTACAATGGGATTCCAGCAACAATTTCAGATTCAATGCCACAGTGGTCCTCACCTCGGAGAATCTTGAAAAATCCTGAATTGGCGACAAAAGAAAATAAAGCAGATGAAGCAAATGCCTGCATGTTGTGTAAAATCAGCTTTTGAGTTACAAACTGCAGACAAAATTAATTGATATTAAATAAATGACTCACCATTGTCACCCCAGTCAGTGTTCCAGGAGTTAGCAGCAAGCCAGTACGGGACACTATTCTCCTCTCCCCAGCCCAGGATCTTAATAGCATGACCACCTAGTGGAGCTCCACTCACGTGCTGATATACACCTATTTAAAAGAAAAGAATTATAACTGTTCCATGCTGCATTAGTACTCTAGACAGACACATGAATAGACTGAAACCAACCAGATTTATACAGCAGGAAGTCGTCATACACCGTGAAGGCTGCCTCGACTGGGCCGTTCTTAAAGAGTTCTTGCATAATGGCTTTCTGATTTGATGGGACACTATACGACGTCTTTCCTAGAACGACAAAGAAGGGTTCAATTCATGAATTAACATCTTGCAGCATTCAAATCATCCCAACTCTAAACCATCCCGTTCTCACCCATGAGGCAGAGGCCCACTAGAGCAGCTAAGCAAACTTCCAAGGGGGGCTGATCATTTAAACAAACTAAAAGATGAGGTCTTAATTCACTCCAATAATGGGTTTTCTTTAAATAACCAGGGTTTCCAAGATCTTGGCAGAACTGTAAATCTGATTAAGGGGATTTCTAGACCTGGAAAGGGTCATGAAAATTTATCTTCAAATACTGTCCATTTTTGTAAGGAATGTACTTTAAGTTGTGCTAAACTTATGCCAAATATTTGATCAGGTTTGAAACAGTCCTTATTCTGAAGTCACAATAATGAAGACAAGTAAATTCATTGGTTAAAAGCGAGATCACTGAAGAACAAGGAGTTATGAAAAAAAAAAAAATTACTTTAACATAAGATCTATAATAACGTTGAAATGTGACCTGAACCAATTTGTTTCCCCAGAGTTCTTACCAAAGTGTTTGTCCTCCTTGTAAGAAGGGCTGTAGCCAGTTTCACAGGACATCTCACAGTTAGGAGTGTCACCACCCTCTCCAGTACAAGGAGGGCGACTGCCATTCACATGATGCTCACAGGGTTCAATGGTGTATGGTCGGCAGCCTAAAAATAAATCTTGTTAATACACAGTTGAAGCTCAACGCTTAAAATGCTCATCAAAAATCAAGGTAGATACGAACCAACATGGGAGTTATAGAGTCCACCGGTAACCAGACCCTCTGTGTTCCAGTATTGCCAAGCAGCAGAGGGGTATCCACCATTACATCTGAGATCAAAACACACTGACTTAGCATCTAGTGTAATATCTAAAAACCGCATCAAAATGCAAACATCAAGGCTGGAATACACAACCGCTAAACAACTTTTTGCCCTGATCAACAAATCAAGGCTATTTTTGAAATGATCTAATTTTAGAATAAATGCTTTTGTCGAGAGTTTTTATAACTGGAAAGTCTGGTTTAGTGTAGTTAGTCTATCATTTAGCCTATGATACCCAGCTTTAAAACCATTACGAAAGTCAGCAAGCGCATGATGCCAAAACATGCCGTGCATTCCAGACTTAACTCAACTAAAAAGATCAGAGTCACTACAGGATGAAATTAAACATTGTTTGTGAAGTCTTGTTCTTGACAAATAGATGGCACTAGCACACACTTAACTTACCCCATGCCACAGCTGTCACAGCAGGTCAGCAGGTCCTGAGAAGAGATCTCCACACTCACTTTAGCATTGCTGTGGATACATACTCTGTCAGAGATGGCTTCAGCAGCCCCAAATGCCTGTGTAAAACCATGAAACCAGGAGTAAAAACATGAAACAAATGCAAATTGCAATCCAAACTTATACTGTGTGCACCAAAGAGAAGACCTCACCCAGCATGAACCACAAGAACCCTGGTCTCGGATCTCTTTAAGAGTGGGGCAGTTGGGCCACTGCTCTCTGGCATCAAAGTTAGTGGGGAGCCTGAGGTTACCAGTATACTGTACCCTGGTTAAAGACAAAACAAACTCTGTTGTATACTAAACCTAGAAGCAGAACTGAAAAATAGGTATGTGGAAACCTACATAAAGAACGAAATCACATGACAAAGTAGTCACACAGCATGTACATCATGACTGCACAAGTTAACAAGTTGCACTTCCTCTACTAGATTCCCCACTCATTTCTTCTCACACCATTCAATTGCACTCACATGACAGGGAGTTTGGGTCCTTTCAGAAAAGTCCCACACAACCTCTTCACATAGCTATAGTCAACATCAGGGAAGTTGTGTCCAGCCTACAGGGGAGAACACCAGACTCTTGAATTCAATTTTAAATTAAGAGTAATCAAGCAGCATTACAAATAGTTTCTCAATACCGGTTCAGTCATCCTCGCTAGAATGCAATTTAGAGCATCAGAGTAGAAAACCATCTTACCTTCCAAGTAGTGTTTGCTTTATTGATGAAATTGACCATCTCATGGGACAGGGGAGCGAGGCGAGGTCGAGCCCAGCTAACTGAAAGGGCTGAGATCACACATAGGAAAGGCAGGCGCCACATTCTGAAAACAAGAAAACTCAATCAATACCACTTAGACAAGGTTTAAGCCTAGACCAAGACTAAAATACATGTTTGAGCAGTTTTAACTGAAAGCAACTTTCATCTTAATGTGTTAGTGCCATCGTTTTGTCTCAAGATACACAAGTAAGGTTTTTTTTTTTTTCTAAGGCACATTTATAAAAACTACTTAAAATGTCCTATTTTAACTAAGACCTAATTTTGGGTTAATCTAAGCCCTGTCTGTGAAACCAGGCCATGGTCTGAAACACCAAAAAGAGTCAAGCGGCACATCACGGTCACTTCAATCTTCAAGTGAAACAGCTCACTGACTGCCTACAGTAGTGTCATCTTTAAGCTGCAGTCATGCAAAAGTGAAAGCTCTAGACATTTAAGATGTACATGCTCAACTTCTTAGTGGTTATGGAACAAGACAAGCCTTGATCAACTAGGCTACTCAGGTAAGAGGTTTAGGTTTTAGGCATCTTTATAAAAGGGACATCCACCTCAGTGGTTTAGCGGTAGTCGAGGAACTAATTTTGTTTTAAAACCACCACACCAAATTATTAAGACGCAATTTCGAAAAAATCTGTAGATGCAATTGTAGTTGTCTTAGTAAAAGGTCATCACAAATATCCTCATGTTGGGTTGCACTTCCTCCAAAGGGCATATGACGACATCAAGTGTGCGTGAGTCAGCGCATTTTACAGGAACAACTTGCTTATTAACAGAAAGCCAGCCTACTTCGACCCCAAACCCAGGGGGAATCTGGACCATTACTAGTAACTATTGAAAAAAAATATATACGAACGCAGTCAGAAACCAACTATAGAGAAGAATGCAAATATGAAATATTGTTCGCTGCATTTGGGGGAGGTCATGTAAGATGGCAAGACCATTAATTGTCTGAGGCTGATCGTGTTTGAAACACAATAACGCTAGTGTCTCTTTAAGTAAACTAGCTGTGTAATGTCAACTTGAGCTACTGAAGCATCATGCGTTTAAAGACAAGCTCTGGTTTCCATTCCTCATACTTTCGTTTTTAACTGCAGGCCTTGTTTACATAAACCAACAGTTAATCCATATTTTAAGGTCAAATGAAGACGTCTGAAATCCTTTGAGCTTACATTTGATAACAGGAAGTGCCGTTGCACAAATAAAGATGCATTCCCTGATAAATGTCTAGGTCTAGGACAATCATTTTCGTTTGATAAGTTATCTTACGCTCCTATATCACCACGACCTTTTTGAATATCTCTTTGAAATTCAAATGAAAGAAAAAACATCAACAGTCTCATGATTTAAATGCAGGTTTGAGTAGCAGTCTTACCTGTCGTCTGTCTACTGGCAGTTGTGCTGTTTCAAAGTGTCTCGCTCCCCAAAAGTTACACTGAGCGGAAACAAACAACAAGCAAAGAACACGCCGATGGCTATATAAAGCAAAGACCGATCACGTGATGATAAGTCATGTGCTCGTGAGTCTGCTGACTGATCACGGCACTGTTTGTTAATTTCTTTTATATGTAAATGTGATGAATAGAATGGAAGCTAATTTCCACCACATAAGAAGAAAAACATGCTTGGTAAATTATGAGATAAAAAGTCATAATTATTATGACACAAAAGTCCTAACATATGATTTTTTATATCATAATTTCAAACTTTTATGTAATAATTTTTCGATTTATGATCTCATAATTATTCATGCTACTTATATCTAATAATAATTTTCTTTCTCTCATTAGGCTATTTTGAAGGAAGCTTCTTTCAGGCCACAGGATAAAAAAGCAACTTTTTGTCTCACAATTCTGATTTTTTTTCTCGCAATTAGTGAGTTTACATCTCGCAATTCTGACTTTTTTTTTCTTCTCAGAGTTGTATGATATAAACTGGCAATGGCAATTGAAAAATAAACTCGCTATTCTGAGGGGGGGAAAAGATAAGAAAAAAATCCTCAGAATAGGACATAACATAAAGAAAAGTATTGTGAGATATAAACTGTGAGATAAACCGACTTTAAAACTTGCAATTGCAAGTTTATCACACAATTCTGACTTAACCTTTTAACCTTAAACCCTTAACAGTTCATCTCACCGTTCTGGGAAAAGAATTGTGGGATATAAACTGTGAGATAAACTAACTTTAAAACTTGCAATTGCAAGTTTACACACCACACAATTCTGACTTTAACTCGCAACTTTATAACAGCTATACAATTCTGAATTAGTGAACTCGCAATTACAAGAATAAAGTCATAATTGTGAAATAAAAATTCACAATTACCTTTTATTTATTTATTTTATGGCGGAAATAAGCTTCCATAAATAGTCCTACGAAACCTTTTTGAGATTTAGATCATTTATGAAATAGTTTTTTATGTCTGATGTTTTTCCAGTTGTGTTTTACAATTGAATAAGTAGTATTTTGTGTTAGTTACATGACGTATCCGTTTGGAAGATTTATTATGGCTATGGTTTTGAACCATTTCATATTTGCTTTGTAGGTGACGTCACATTGAGCGGCAGCCTCCAAAAAACTGACCAGAGTCAGACCCCCCTGTCTATGAGACAGACTCGACTCAGAAAGAACTACACAAAGCGCAGAAGAGTCCTTGAATAACGGAATACCACAAACTTTGAAAGAAAGACAGAATTGCAACGATGCAGAATCGAAAGGGAAGTGCAGTCACATGGAGTCACGTATGTCTCTACTCTTTTTTGAGTAGAGACATACTTTTTTGTCTTTTTTTTTTTAACGACTTTTTTGTCGTTTCTTTTTTTTTTTTTTTTTTTTTTTAACGACTTTTTTGTCGTTTCTTCTGTCATCAGTTGTACTGTGCTTCACACACTACCTCTGGATGGGAGAAGAGCTGCTGGCCTGGTTGACACTGGGTCTGTGCTTGCCTTCTGTCACTGCTGTGCAGCTGCTCAGTCTGAGGTGGTACATCACTGATGATGCAGACAGATCCAAGCCCTCACTCATCTTTGTGCACTGCCTGCATCTGGGCATCTATCACAGGTCAAAACACTAAATCGTTTAGATTCATAACTGCATTCATTCAGTTATAAAGAGTGAGGTGAAAACTGTAGTAAATTACTGTACCATATACAGTAACATACTGTATAATCTAGCGAATTCATAAAAAACTGTCTAGGTTGTACTTTGCATGAATACAATTAAGCCTATTTTTAGGACCATTAAATGTTTTGTTTTGTTTTTGTTGTATTGTGCCAAAATACTTTGTGACACATTTAAAGGGATATTTAATAAATATAATATAGATTATTACAATATAATTAGATGTAATACAATTATGTCAATTATTCACACTCATGTCGTTCCAAACCTGTAAGACTTTCATTCATCTTTGGAACACAAATGAATATGTGAATAAATTATTAATATAATTTATTAATTATAATTATTAATATAAATTAAATCTGTTTTATAGTTGTGTGGACTGTCAATGGAGGGACAAAAGCTCTCATAAAAAAGATTTTAATATGTTTACTGAAGATAAACTAAAGTCTTACATGTTTGGAACAACATGAGGGTGAGTGATTAATGACAAAATTGTCATTAAACATTAAAGCAAATTACTATTATAATAGTAATAATAAAATTGTCAATTTGGGTGAACTAACCCTTTAAACACATTTTCCCCCCACATCCTCAAATTGTTTAGTTTTTAACATTTTCTTTTGTAATTTCCTTTATTCTCAACTTTGATTTTCCATACCGTAATACAGTATTGTTGTACTATATTACATTAATACAATGATATTTTAAGACACTGACACTGAAGACTGGAGTAATGATGCTGAAAATGTAGCTTTACCATCACAGGATTAACATTTTTAAATAAAATAGAATTATAAATTGTAATAATATTTCACAGTATTACTGTTCTTGCTGTATTTTTAATCTAAAAATTTTGTACAGTTTTAATTTAGTGAAATATGACTTTTGCATGTTCATGATTCAGGTGGATTCATCCAATGATATTATTTATCACACAAAAGGCTGCTGTTGATGTCTAAGATGTGTGTGTATGTTTTATATTTACAGATTATGGAGCTGCATGAAGTCTCAAGGTGAGCAGCTGAAGTTTGTTGCATTACTAATGAAGGAGGCTGATGTTTCTGCTCTGTGTCTGATCGAGGCCCTGACGCTCAGCCTGCCTCAAAGTCTACTGCAGACCTACAGTTTATTCACCCTTCACCCCGGCTTTCTGTCACCAGGTATGTGACTTCCCATTGTTACGAACAGAACTAGCTCAACGTCAACAGTTTTCTGTGGAAGTAATGAAATAAGTCAGCTTACTGAAATGAAGCAGCCTCAATGACATATGTGACCTACGGGGGACGCAGCCTTCGAAATGAGACACAGTGTACACTACCAAAAAAAGAAAATTATACATTTAGTCCTGGTTCGCTTAGCAAACTATAATTTCTAACAAAGAACCTAAAGACACAAAACAAAAGGGATAAGGTCACAACCTGATTGGACAGCTTTTATGACAACATACTGTATATTTGAGATGGAACCTATCAAACAAACCATATAAAACAATACTGTGTGCTGTGCTTGTTGTATGTGTGTATATATGTGTAATCAAAACAGTGCCAGGAATTCCTAATTGCACACAAACAAAGACATGTAAAGACCTTAAACAAGTACTGATTCTGACACCAGTACCAAACTGTAATGATGACAGCGCATATAATACAAAATTATTTTCATGTTTTGTTATCACAACATTTTTTCGTTTTTCAAATCAGCTTAGATCATGTATGTGGTTCAGATAACATACTATTTGTTATCTGAAACTAAAGACTAAAACGATTGATCAAAAAACAAATTCGTAAAGTGAAATAAAATAAAAAAATGTAAAAAATAAATGAAAAAAAAAAAAGACAAAACAAAACGAAACCAACAACAAACGTCATAATCGGGACTGATCGATTCTTCACTTGAAGTGGAGAGGGAAATTTACCACAGTATCAATGCATCACATGCACATTTATTCAAACGTAATAACAGAACAATCACACCAGAGTTCGTTTTAATCGAATCAAACCTGCCAAGTGTATACGTAAACTGTTTATTCCCTGAACCTCTTTCTACAGTGGTCTTATGTGTCGGGCTGAACCTACTGAATGTGTCCTGGTTTCTGGTCCTGTTCAGCCGTTCATGCCTTCTGCTTCGTCCTGGTCACCTGCACATGACTCCGGCTGCAATGCTGTGCCAGCTCGTATGGAGAGGGGGCATGTTGGGTGCCAGGGTGGCCAGCCTCATGTTCTTCTGCAGTACGTTTCACTGGTGGTTCTCTGGAGTCTTGGGTGAGTCAAGCCTTGTGTCAAATCCTTACACATAAAAGTCTTCACAGTTAGTTTGCGTGACAGTTTTGAGGGCTTTAAGGTAATTTGTCATTGCCCAACTCTTACCTGGAAAAGGATGATTTGTTAATAAATGGCTGCTTTGTGATTGTCTTTTAAAATCCCTGCTCAGGTTTCCACTGGCTCATTATGACATTCTGGCAAGTGTCCCAGCAGACAGACATCTGCATTAACCGGAGTTCCTGGCGTCTCTTCAACTTCATCTTAGGGGCGCTGCACATTTTCCTGTTTTTCAACGTTAAAGACGGTCCCTCGCGGTACCGCATGACTGGGTTCTATTTGGTAGGTTTCTCTGCACAGCAGTGTTGTTTTACTATTATTTTTATATCGACTTATAATATTTATTAAATATAATTTTAATTAACTTTTATTTATAAATATTTAGTCTGGATTTTACTTTTAGTAATCTTAAGTGCTTTTGTAAATTTATTCTATTTTTTCAGTTTTAGTTTGTCATTTTAGAACTTTTGATTGTTTTTCATCTAATATATAAAAATGTATTTAATTTCATTAATATTTTGTTCACTAAAAAATAAATAAAAGGATATTAAAAATAAAAAAAATATTATCATTTTTAATTAATACATTTTTAATAGTTGTAATTTTAGTAACAATAAAACACTGCTCCTCTGTCAGTATTAAATGTAAATGGGAAAATCAGCAGAAAATTTTAACTTTGTGCAAAATATTTGGAAAACTGTCTGGACTGTTTGTGTCCAGATTGTGTGAAATGCTGCACGGTTGTGTTGACTTTTATGCTGATGACTATTTAAGATATAGTGAATCTTCTCTCAAGAATAATAGCTTTGTTAACATCTTTGTTTTTGATTGATTTTACAGTTAATGTTGCTGGAGAACACTTTCCTTCTGCTTCTGGCGTCAGACTCGCTCAGTGGGCCTACATGGGACAGCATGAGTATTCCTGTGGCTGTCTTATGCAGCTTCTTTATCGGTAAACATTATGGATTCACTGATTATTTTCATTCCATTATTCAAATGTCATACTATTTTGTCTAATTCAATTAAAAATAAAACACTTAAACAACTAAAATCAGTTGTTTAAAATGCTACAGGCATCACAACCATAAAATGTACAGTATGACATTTTTTTTTTTTAATTTTGAGATTTACTGAAGATTATATTTAACATTGTTATTAAATTATTATTAGTGTTTTTAAAGATTACCGTTAGATGACAGCAAGGTGATCTGGATAGAAAAATAGGGGAAATGAGCACGTACAATTAAATATCCAGATAATGATAAAGGGGTCATTTTACACTTATTTTTTTACATTTGCCACTTTCTTTGGTGTATATTGTGCATTCCTTGAAATCACTTTTTCTTATAAAAACATAAAAAGCCCACATAGTGTAATGTAACATTAAAGCAAATTACTATTATAATGTTCTCTGGTCTCTATTTTTCTAGGTGTCATTTTTGTGGTTCTCTACTACCGATTTCTTCATCCAAAATCCACTGAGATCCTCCAGAGTCTGAGACTCCAAATGAGCTTGACAACTATTGACCGAACAGTGGATGGACACTGCAAAGACACAACAGTTGAATCGTCCACACACAATCATGGTACTTTCTCAGTGACCGATTTTGCTCCTGTGAGGCATGCAGGAGACTGTTCTGTTCAGCCTCTAGAGGGCGGTTGGCACCATCATTGTATGTTAATACACCTGGCTCTCAAAACTGGAAACGCAGACAAGATCAACTGCCTGTATGGAGACAGAGGGCTTTCATTCTTCCTAGGGAATGATGATGCACCCGACACAGATGCTGAAGGGAACCCTTGTAACCAGCCATCAGTGGAAGGAGGTGAAAGATCTGAAAGATGTCCGGTTGAAAACAGAGAGGGATTTTCTGGTGCTGAAGTCGGACTGCAGTCTCCAGAGAAGGCTGCGGTGTATAACACCTGTCCCGCAGACTGCAGTAGTACTGTTTACTTTAGTGCGGAACCCCACTCCTCCTATAATGTCAGCGATTCTACCTTAGATAAAGAGAATATGACTGTGATCAGTCCCATTATGAATGGAGCTGAACTGATCCTGACTGCTAAACAGCTGTTAAACAGGAACCCATGTTATACCTCAACTCCAATGCAAGACCTCAAAACTATGCACAGTACAAGTCCTCGATTAGCAGGGGCTCGAAGACAAGTACAGTTTTAATATTAAAACTGGCATACCATAAAAATATGTGAATTATTTGGGATAAGGCGAATAAACATTATCTGTTTATTATTAGCACATAACCACTATAAGCTGCAGGTTATCTTTATCTGCAGTTTGTTACCATTAGTTATAAGCTTAGTGAATTAAAATCAGTTTACATTGATTACTATTAAGTTACATGGACATATTTTACTTGCTGCTCTTTTGTACCGTAATGTTTGATACATTTCTATTTTTTTTTTTTTTACCATCTAATTTTATATTTCATGTATATTTTATATTTTGTCTCATTTCTATATCTATATTTTATCAGGTATAATATAGATTGTTTTTTATTAATCTGTGGAGAAAAAATTGTTTTAATATAATTTTATAGTTCAGTGTCAAAATAAGTATTTATAAAATTGGTACTATTTGTAACTTTTTTGTTTTCTTCAAGATTAACATTTAAATGAGTCAATACATTATCAATACTTCTTTCAAAACATGTTTTTGTCTCAGTCTGATTCTATGCTAATAGGCATTTAATATAACTGTTTAATTAATTGACCTGACGGGATGTTTTGGCGGGAAAAAAAAAAACGCTAGATAGAGGACGAAAAGTTACAGTGTATAGGTCTAAAACGTCGACAGATTTGCCTTTTGCTTTTCAGAACTTCCTATCTTGTTTTCATTTGTAATAATACGGTCTTTTACCATGCTACTTCATAGATTTGCATATTGTTTCTTTGTTCAGTCATCTAAACTGCTATAAAAGGTTATTTAGGTAGGTACTACTCTTTCTTCGTTCTTTTTGTCCGTCTCCTCATTTACATGGCCTAATATTGGAATAAAAATCTTTCAAATGTAGCCTATATTGGATTTTGTCATAACACCTGCTCTCATCAGACAACAGAGGGCACTAATACATTCAGTAAAAGTTTGTGCAAAGAGATATTCAGAATGTAATTAACTTACAGAAGTATTGGCATGAACAAATCGCTTTAAAAGCTTCGGTTTTTATTTTATGGAAAGTATTGACTGGATCCACAGACAAACTTTTGGCACATTACTCCCCCTCAAACACATTAAAAACAACAATGAAAAAAAAAAGACAACCAGATGTAAATTCCTCACAAAATAATTTTCTAATATGAAGTATATGAAATTAAAATATTTTTGAAACGCATACTAAATCAGTGTAGAATGAGGCGAGCCTCTTTGTTACATTATTAAAATGTTGCATGTGTTGAACACCAATGGGTAAAATAAGGACAGGGACATATTTGAGGACGTATCTGACATTTCTGGACCATACTGCTCAACTGTGCTCATGCATGGATGGATTTTAACTATAGCACCATGTTGAAAATTCATACTATCCTCCTGATTCCTGTGAAAAATAATACAAATAGAGGTGATTGCCTTCCATGCAATTAATACCTGCTTGAAAAATCCTACACTGTAAAAATGAGAGATTATGATGTCTATAAGTCCTCCACCTTAATATCATTTTATTTTTACAGCGATTTCTTTCGAAAATGAAGGCTTAGACAATCATTTTGTTTTGTCAGTTGACAAAATATCTCACAAATGAGAAGAAATCCTTCACAGAGGTCATGAAAACCCTGAGATCCAAGACAAAGCTTTCGTATATTAAAAGTGTTTGTAACAGAAAGTCATTTTGTTTAAATAAAAAAATAATATTACAGCCAACTAAAGGTTAAGATCTGTCTGAATTGTCAAATTGTTACAGTGACTACAACTAATTTCAGACACAATTCATTACAATTAGAAATACAGTATTTCAAGGCAAGCATTGTCAAAGCTCAAGCATATTATTTTTCCCCCACCTCTTTTATATTTCATGGTGAATTATTCATTAAAACGAGTTTTCATTAAAATGTGCACTCGGTAATTTCCCTCATTATTATCTGTTCATTTTTTCTTGGAGCAGGGCAAAATGTAGATTTGTTGAAGTTGCTCAAGGTTTGTGGCATTTAAAACTATATATTTTTTTATCAATGTATGCGCCTTGGATGTATTTTTATTGTGTTAAAATAATTATAATGCCTGCTTGTTATTTGAAAAGTTTTAAAATAATATCACATGATTATTATTTGAATACTTCAAACCATAAATGGGTAATTACCAAATTCTCTATCCTAATTTCTCATTACCAAGTGTGGAATTTTTTTCATTGTCATCAGTAACTAAAAACATTACTTTTGAATGTTTTTTCATCTTTCATCCACGCCACTAGGCGTCAGTATGGTCAGTATAACAGCGCAACATAGTGCACCTGAAAACACGAGTGCCAGTGCCACCAGAAGAGATGTTCCTAGACGTCTTGTAAATGTTGGCGACCCTCATGTCCCAGTCCCTTACTGTATCCCCAAAAAAGTGTAATAGCAATTGTATCCCTATGTTGTATCCTGCAACGAGTTCAATAGTAGCGGTTCAGGCTGCGTGTGCCCGGCATGTCAGGCTGTCCGTTCATCCAGATCTCCCGTATAATCCGCTCACGTTCTTCCAATCTCTGTGCGCGCTCCAGCTCTTCGGCGGAGGTAAACACGTTACCGAGCGTCCGTTCAAAGCGCCGGTGGCGGCGTGCTGACAGGTCGGAGGCATTGTCCCAGTCTGAATCGCTGTCGCTCGTGTCACTGGTGCTCTCCATAGTCTTACCTGTTTTTCTGGGCGCTTGCTCCTTTTTGCAGTCGGTTCGACAGGAGATCTGCACCACTAACGCGATGAGAGTGAGAACCAGTCCCAAACACACTCCACACACAAAATACAGTGCCGCCCGTTCCGGGTGATCTGCAGAAAAGTTCAAAAGGTTAGGAAGGTTTGCATTCGTTAGGTGTTACGGATTGTGTCCGGATAAATTACAATAAAATATATAATGATTATGCTTCTGGTGATTTTTTTCATTTCTAAATAAAATTATATTTTTATATTTTTGAAAGCATGAAGTAAAACATGTCAGTGTGTTTTATCTGTTTTACCCAAGGGGGTAAACCATCGACCGGAAGTTGAAGCCTCGCGGGAGCTGCCATCTTGTAACAGAACTTCACTTGCATTAGCATTCCCATTGACTCCCATTCATTTTGGCGTCACTTTGACAGCGAATAACTTTACATGTGTTTGGAAACGTGTTTGTATGCGTATAAATTGCGAAAGCGAGTTAACATTTTAGCGGTTCCATCCAAGGGGGTTATCCATCAGCCGGAAGTCAAAGCCTCGCGGGAGCCGCCATTCAGAACTTCACCTGCTGTTAGCATCCCATTGTCTCCCATTCATTTTGGCATCATTTTGACAGCGAATAACTTTACATCTGAGGCGTCCAAAGACTTAATTTGTCCATTATTTCTAAACAAACACAACAAAGTATAAAAGCCTCTATTACCTTGTATCTTCTCTTATGGCCCTGTAGAAGCAGTTTTTAAAAATAGGTTAACGATTGTGTCATAACGAATCGAGTCTCCGTCGCACAGTTGAGAAATTGCCGTATAGACAGGAAGAGAAGCTCGCAGGCAATCAGGGGGACGTGGAGGCATAAAAGTCCGATAAAGTCGAGGGAGAAGCCCATAGAGAGTCATAAAGTTGCTCCTGCTGCTAGCTCATGGACAGCTAATACTTACTCTCTCCATCTCTGTGATATTCTGAAGAGAATTATTCAGATTTCACTCACCACAGCTACTAGAAGACATACAGGTTGCTCACGTAACTGGCTCAGTTTGAATCTCGTTGAGTATCATAAACTTTTTGTTGATCACAGACCTTGTTTTTAGCGATAATTCAAAAGCCTATGGGAAAATCCTATTGGGTTTTTCTTGAAGTGTGATGCTAACTTGCCTACAAAGTGAACACTCTATTACATGTTCAGTCTATAGGTGTGTAGTGTTTCCTGGCTGCATAATACAGCAGTTTTAGATTATTTAACACCATTACTCACTGACTTTGGAAACATCATGCAGTAATTAAACTCATATTTTTTTAACAGTTGAATTTTAAATGTAATTGAAAAACTAATAATTGAATAATTAAAATGGGTGAAAATAAACAATATAATAATAATAAATGAAAAGAAATTAGATTTAAATAGACCTATACATTCTTATATTGCACTTCCTTAGTCCTTGAGCTTATTTTGTATAATTAATTTTTATATATAGAATGAATTATTAGCAGTTTTCATTGAAAAGTAGGCTACTAAACATGTATTCAATATAAAAAATATGTTGGGCATATAAAGTATTAAAAAAGTCCATTTAGGGACGGGGCAAAAAACGTGCCTATAAAGGAAAAGGGTCTATTTAAAACATGACAAAAGAAGGGGGTCCATTGCAAAAATTGCAGAATTGCAATTATGCACATGATTATCTATGATAATCGGCCAGTTTTTGCGCAGGCTATAGATTAGTGGGGATGTGAGTGTAGTAGTAGTGTCCCAAACTTGTTTTTACCTGCTATGAAGGAGTAAGCAGCCAGTGCATTGCTCACTAAAGCCATCTCCTCGGTAGTGGCTTGCCTTTCATTGAGGAAAGCTGTAACCATTTCATACACGAACAGACTATGGATCAGTTATTGTGTGGTACTGAAAGAGAGAAAAAGAGAGGGAGATATACCGCAAGTTAAAACCAGTCTGAACCCACCTTCGTTTTTTAAAATCCCCATAAAGGGAAGCACTGAACCATAGCTTATAATGATGTTGTTTTAAAGAGTGTAATTATATTGGGATTTCTCCCTACATTTAGGCTGTACCATAACCTCATGTGCAGAGAAAACTATTTTTACAGACAGGCTGGAAATTTCCGAACACCAGAATCATGCTATATTTCTGAGCAACCACAGACATTGTAACAACCTAAAATGTAATTTCTCCTCATCAAACTGTCACACAAGATCAGACAAAAAAGACATTCTGATCTAATGCATTATTATTCACTGACAAGGTGATTGATGACTGCATTTGAGACAATCATGATAGAAATTATAACCTTTCACAAATAAAGAATTATTTATGCCAGCATCCTACCCTTGACATTCCCTCATTCTCTCTTGTAAAACTATTTCTAGGCATCGGGGAAAATTTACCCGTAAATTATTGCCAGGACTTATTGGCTGGTTTTTGTCTTTCATCCCAAAATGAAGAAATATGTAATGAAACAAAGGTGGTTGAACACAAACAACACAGAATCAGTGTGGCAGGATGGTTGGACAGAAAGCTTGGGTTACTAAATGTTGTTCAGTATAGTCTGGGGCTGGGCTGAAGGTAGACGGCACTCAGAGCCAGTCATTCACGTGGGTGTAAAGGAATGTAGAGTCTTGGTCCGTCTCATTTAGAGGAAGACAGGCTGCTCTTTCAGCGTAAATAAGGAATTAGACTGTTGACACTTTACACAGATATAGGTGGATGTTGGTGTTTTTGCTGTGTTTTTATATACAGTGATGTGAATAAGTTAGGACACCCATGCTAAAGTTGCCTAAAAAGAGGAATAAAAAAATCATCCTTTGGAAATTGATCTTAATGCCTTGATTAGAAAAATGAGGAAAAATCCAACCTTTAAGGACACCAATTTTCTTTGTGTATGAAAAATGCATCATAAATAAATAAACATTCTTCTTTAAAATACAGTGTGCATAAGTCAGGACACCCCTATGTTAAATTAACTAAAATGCACCTATAGAGCATTTAAAGATCTAAACATTTTGTGTAAAAATCTATTGCTAGAAAATTACAAAAACAAAAAATCAGTTTTTAGACCGAAAATTTAGAATTCAGTAATATTGTCTTAGTAAAATAAAATAAATACACAATAAAACAGCATGTATGAAAGTGCATTTAACTTCTTGGGAATCAGATTTTTAACTGCATGTTTTTAAAGCCCTAATTGGTATCCATTTACTTGGAAATACCTGTTTAAAATACCCCGCACTCCTAAGCAACTGTTCATTATGTAACATGTAACTGTTGAGTCTCTCAGTCTGTGCAGTCTGATGAGGCTCTTCATTCACCCTCATTACTATCTTATAATTATGAATATCTCCCAGGCTCTGCACCATAATTTGGATGTTTAAACATTATTTTCAGTTGTAACTACTCAAATGCTATGTGAAGCCTCCATGCAAGACAATAACATAACCTTTTGCATCTGCCTGTGAAAATTTTGGAAAAATTACAGCAACACAAATTAATTACTGTTATTAATACTGAGATGCTGATGTTATTGTTTTGCAGAGACATGTTTGTGGTTCTTTTTACCTGTTTAACACAGGATAGCATGAGAATTGTAATATTGTAGAGTCTTACCTGGAGTGTGTCGATACATAGTGGTCCATCTGTGAACTTTAAGGTCACACTGCAAAGAACAGAGAACAAAAGCAAGCAAGACACAATGAGAAAGAAACTTCAGCATCCTCCCTTTGGCTCTTCAAAACTGACGGACAAAGCAAAAGAAAAAGAAAAATGCAGGGCTACTGTATGAGTCACAGTGATCTATATAACAGAGCAGCCCCCTCAGTGCTATGATAAGACCTTCAGTGGAAAAACGCTATTTCCCCAAACTTAGAGTTCATACATCACACAGTATCACTATGAGTCCTTTTCCTGTACACACACTCCTCCATTTAACCACAGTGATTAGTCAGGACAAAAACCCTCCCTAACTAGACAAAAAAACAAAAACAATAATGTGTGTTGAAGTTGTACAAAGTTCGCTTGGGACAAGCCAATTATCTTACTATTTGAAAGCCACAATGAGTAGCTAAAACATAAAATTCTGCTTACTGAATTATGACATGTTTTTTTAAATAATGAAACTTGGTCACAATGCGAATATCAGGATTTGTGTTAGAGCAATATATATGACATACAGTAGTTGGTAAATGACTAGTCAGTGATTTTTCAGTCATTTTCAGATTTTTCAGTCAATTTTGCATGTAACAGATTGAAAAATTATTAATATAAAAATTTAAATTATGTTTTCATATCTTTACTTCAGACTATTTTTTGGAAAACAGTAAATTGTTGTTCTTGTGGTAGATAGCGTTTCATGTTTTTGGAAAACTTCACTTGACTTTTCCCATGCAGGACAAGTCCTTTTTTCCCACAGAAATCTCATGGGTCGTAACCGGTCATCATATTAAAATAGATCTAAATTACTTAGCTTCTTCCAATATCAATACAAGGTTAAAAGAGGCCAGTTATTTAATCTTAAAAGCTTGAAAAGGATGATTTCGTTTAAAAAATATAGACAAAATTTTGAGAGATCACAGAAAAGCAATTTAATCCCATCATTCATCAAGGCAAAATATACAAACTACACATTGCAAAAAGCATTAAATTCGTTATAATTATAAAAAAAATAAATAAATATTTGAACACCCAAAAATTAAATTTGTCATCAATTACTCACCCTCATGTCATTCCAAACCCATAAGACTTTCGTTCACCTTCGGGACACAAATGAAGACCATAAAATCTGAGGGTTTTCTGTCCCTTCATAGACTGTTACACAACTATCACTTTGAAGCGTCAAAAAGAGATATCGTAAAACTAATCCATTTAACTAATCCGAGTCTACAGAAGTGGCTCAGGTGAGTAATTAATGACTGAATTTCATTTTTTTGGGTGAACTAATCCTTTAAATAAATAATAAGTTATGATTGAAATCAGTTATCTTAGCATTTCCTGTGACAGACAGGTTTGGTTTAAATATGTTCAGATTCAAAGAAAACAAAAACATTTATATGACGTCCATCAAAACTCAAAACTCTTATTTAAGTTGAAGTTAAGCACAGCATATCATTTTATGAAAACATTAAACAAAATAATGAGATATGTAATTCTATCATGCTATAATAACAATGAAATACGTATACTAACATATAAAAGCAAAATACAGAATGTCAAATGTGGTGTTTTACATTCACGAATCACGAGAAAACCGATTTGTCAAAGGGCCCATAACATTCTTGAATGAATTATGCTTACTGTGTTCCCTGGAATAGACTATTACAAATATTTTGAGAGTTTTCAGCGTTATCCTCCAAATGAAACCACCGTTATGCGCCGCAATCAAGAGAAGAAAGCGGCAGCTCATTTTTGGCTTTATTGAATCCAGAAGCCTGTAGTATTTGAAGGCCCGGACCAATGGAGCCTGGCTTTAATCAGACGCCGGGCCAAAGCTAAGCCCAAACCTGAGCTTCAAAGCTGGCACAAGCCAATACCCTTTCATTTGACTTCACAAATAGAAGTACAGAAAACGAGTAACTCTAAAAGGAAGTTGTTCCTCATTGAATAAGAAACATGAAGCATGGCCGTTCTCCTGTTTTAAGCGCATAGTCACAAACAACAAACTTCTATAATGTTTCCAGGATCTCATAATTTGAACAGGAATTCAAGCACCTGTTTCTCAACTATAACATGATATTTAGGTTGAGACAATAATGGCTGGACATCTGCTGTCATTAGTATTCACAGCCAGGGCCAGAGTGAGTCAATGTCAACTAGACCTCCCACAAGCCTGCATTGTTGACCAAGAAGGTCACTTTTAGCTGGTCGGGCATTTTTCTGTGCCATTAAGTTCCTCAAGAACAAACAAACAGGTGAAATGGTAAATAGGTGCATTTTTTAGTCAAGATTATAGGGACAGTTCACTCAAAAAAAAAAAAATAATAATAATAAGTCAACATTTCCTCGCCTTCATGTCATTGGAAATCTGAATGTTTTCCTCGGAAGAAGATATTTTGGGGGACATTACATAAACGTTTTTGTCAGAGGGTTGGGATAAGAGCTTAAATATCACTAAATATCACAGGGAGTCTGATACTGCAAGTGGCCTTATGAAAATATGTCTTTTCACAGGGGTCTGTTTATCATGAACTCGAAAGAACAGGGGGAATTATTCAGACTTCATCATTGTTTTCATAAGAGAGAGAGATTAGACATCACAGAAAAAGATTCATTGGGGAGTTTTCTATTTTTAGAGGAAATGTTTTAAAAATAGAGAACTGCACACAGTTTTCCCGCAGCTGTTTCTGATCAGAAGGAATGGCAAAATGGAACTCTGGTCAAAGAATATTCAGAGAAAGATAAGGAAGATGCATGACAATACAGAATATAAAATGGAAAGAGTGCAAAACAATGGAATCCCTCTACTAGATTTAAAAGAGCATGTGAGCATTTGATCAAACGCAAAGAAAACTGAATTCCCTCTACTAATGACTGTTTTATTTTTGTATCATGTGATTTTTATCCCATCCGGAGTTTGTTGGAACCACAAACCACTCAATCTCCTCACACCTCATAAAGGAAGATTAGGAGAGATGGCATAATGAATGCTCAAGATGTCATGTCTGATCACATAATCCCACATACACATTTGACTTCTTCTAATAATTCATTTTACTTAATTCAGCATAAGCCTGCATGGTTTATAGACATAACTGAGTGCACATTTACACACTGTACAAAACAAAGAACATAATGAGCAGCTTTTAACAGACAGACAGACTGAATATACAGAATAACAGACTACACTTTTCTGCTGTTCTCTCAATGGCATTTGAGAAAAATGGCGTTCGTCAGGTCCAGTTTTGTATCCAGCCTCTCACAGGGATTTTGGATGCCCCAACGCCTGTGAAGAGACGACTCAACGCCGGCGATATGTTATGGCGCCGTTTTATATATAAACAATATTTATATTTAATATTTATATATAAACAATATGAATGTTAGCCAGAGGAGAACTGGCCCCCGACTGAGCCTGGGTGCTCCCAAGGTTTTTTTCTCCATCCAATCTTATGGAGTTTTGGTTCCTTGCCACTGTTGCCACTGACAGATAGACAGATATTAAAGGGTTAGTTCACCCAAAAATGAAAATTAAGTCATTAATTACTCACCCCCATGCTGTACCAACCCCGTAAGACCTTCGTTCGTCTTCGGAACACAAATGAAGATATTTTTGATTAAATTTGAGAGCTGTATAACTACCACATTTGCTCCTAAGGGACTGCCTCTTGACGGCCCAGAAAGTCAATGAAGAAAATGTTTAAATATCCCAAGTGACTACCGTGGCTCAACTATAAGTTTATCAAGCGACAAGAATACTTTTTGTGCGAAAAAACAAACAAAAATAACGAGTTTATTCGACTATTTTCTTCCTTGTAGGCCAGAAACGAGACTTCCTTAGATTTCCACGACGCATGCGCGAGAATTGCGATTTAAAGTAGTGTAAGGAGATCGCAATTCTCGCGCATGCGTCGTGGAAATCTAAGGAAGTCTCGTTTCTGGCCTACAAGGAAGAAAAGGAATAGTCGAATAAACTCGTTATTTTTGTTTGTTTTTTCGCACAAAAAGTATTCGCGTCGCTTGATAAACATATAGTTGAGCCACGGTAGTCACTTGGGATATTTAAACATTTTCTTCATTGACTTTCTGGGCCGTCAAGAGGCAGTCCCTTAGGAGCCAATGTGGTAGTTATACAGCTCTCAAATTTAATCAAAAATATCTTCATTTGTGTTCCGAAGACGAACGAAGGTCTTACGGGGTTGGTACAGCATGGGGGTGAGTAATTAATGACTTAATTTTCATTTTTGGGTGAACTAACCCTTTAAATGTGTTTGCTAAAGCATTTGTCACCTTTCAGGAGTACACTAACATATCCAAAGTAAAAACCCAAAGACTACACTAAACTCCAGTTACGATTTCACAGGATCGAACAGATAGCCTATTATCTTGCATCACTGAGTATTTCATGTTAGAGCCTGAGATCCTAAATACAGCCATGATTTATTTGACTCTCATTTGCCTGCACCACACCGCTTCACCCTCATTATAATCACAAAACATGACTTTGGGCAGATTCATTTGCCAACCTTAATGCTACACTTCCTCTCCCTTGTGTTTTTTTTTTCTTCCCCTTTTTTTTTCTCCCGTGCTTTTTTCTTCTCTAATATTAGGTTTCAGAATGCAGGGCCAGTCTCGGCTCTCTCCGACTCAGTGAGAGTTAGCTCAGTGAAGCAGAACAGTGGAGCTGGAGGACCTAAATGTGCTTAACCCCACACAGATGGGAAAACTAAAGCTTTTCCATACCTCAGCTGCCTCAAGACTGCTATTATTTAACGTCACTATAGCCATTTTTTTCCAGAAATGTTTTTATAATGCCACATTTAACTATTTATTGTCATGATGAGAGATTTACTTGGATGAAAAACAATGGGCTGTTGAAGGATGTTGCCCTTTTGTACTGATTCAGCACCAGTTTAACATGCTGCTGGTTTTTGCTTTAACGGCAAGAAAAACATGATGAGTTTATTTAGGTCTGGCTTCTTGGAAATGGAACGAAGCTTTCAACTA